AGAGAGGAGATCTTCCCTTAAATGCAGATTTCCCTAAGGTCTTAAAATTCACGTAACAGAAAAATGCAAACGGAAAGAGATGCTAAACCAAAGGTAGTCCATGTCTCATCTGTAACACAATAATGGTGATACAGGAGAATAACACACTGGAGGGTGTGAGAGGTAGGAACTATCCTTAAACGGGCAGACAAAACCGAAGAAAACAGCTCACCTTCTTACCTTCAGTTTATGTTATCTAGAGTAAAATCCAACATCCAGTCATAGTTAAGAATGGGAAGACATCCATATCATATCATAATTAGATTAAATATTCAGGAATTGTGCTTAGAAAGACGATGTAACCGTAGTGCAATTTTACATTTTTGTAAACATTGATGACAAATTATACAATTATCAACTTATGGATATGTTGCCTGTGTTTTCTTTTCTGGTTTGTCAGAGCACTTTTTTTTGCACTCAGGGACCATAATTAACCAGCGGAAAACATTGATAGTTGTTAAAGAGCTATGGTCATATACAGAGTCCTACACATCGCATTATTCATTATTAGGATATATGTTTGACCCCCCCCCCCCCCTCCATGTATCACACATTTTTTTCGTTTACAAGATTAACATATACCATTTGTCGCTCCTTTTATGGGCAAAATTACTGCTTAGAATACATGTAACTTAGTGTAATTGACATCTGAAGTAATGATGTACATAAAAAAGTGCCAAGAGGTGGCTGATATGCTCATATCTTTAATTGGTTAAATAATCTAGAGAACATGTTTTGAACTACAAAACGATCAAAACTAGAGCAAATGAAGATGAAAACTCAAAACAGGTGGGAAATCAAATTCTTTAAGAGCACACAGGGTCGAACCCTGTATATCTTTATTTCAGGTATCTTCACTTGTATTAAATTTAGTGGTAGGTTATAGTGCATGATTATAGGTTAGAAATCATGTTAATCACACAAAGAGCTTGATATTATGTATGAGCATATGTTTTAAGTAATGATGATTAAGTGTTAAGTAGAATAGATTTTATACCTTTTTGTGATAAGTAGAATAGAATTTTTATAAGTACACAGTGATGTTATGAAGGTATTATGTTTAAGTCATGATAGGCACAATACTGTCAATGAAAGTAGTAAGGCAACCATGGTCTATAGTAAAAGTTGATGTTAAAGAGTAGTGAATATAAAAGTGTGTAGATGTAGCCTAAAACCGAGCACTGATTATACCCAAGTGTATGTGAGTGATTATACACCAGTTTTTATTATCTTTACTAATCTTATAAAGTTCATAAAGTTGTTAAAAATATATGTTAAGAACACTGTGACATAATGGTGGTAAAGGAAAGATAATAAATGGTTTTTAAAAAGTAGAAGTACAGTAAGCGGATTCTAATGGTGTAATCCTGAAGAAAGGGAACAAAGAAAAGTGTCGAGTAAGGCAAAAATCTTCATGGCCTTGGGTAGGCCGTGGAAGTCTGCGGGTTCTGCGATAAGAACCGTAGGACTTAAGGTGTAGGCTAGGGCAGATAAGACACTAGTAGAAGAGGAAAAACCACGGTTGGTGGAGGTTTAGGGTCACTTCGTATTAGATTGATGTCCAAGATCATACTTAACTGTCAAAAATCGTTCCTCCTTGATATAGCATTTTCAGCCCTTCCACTGTTCTTGCTTTCTTTCTACTGAGCAACAGGTAATTGTATTAAATTCTGAATCTGAGGGAGGAAAAGGGCGGGCCCACAGATCTTGGGCATCTGAACTTCAGCTGTGTATCCTGACATGGTTACACTTTAATACTTAGGGCAGTCTGTTTGCTTAGTAATACTTTCTCTTTCTCAGAACTGCTTCTCCGGGCATTTAAGATACCAAAATGAGCAAACTTTGGGCAGATCCTGAAAGAGATTGGTGAAAGTTTTGGTTTTTATTTCAGAAGCGTTTGGTGGCTGCATTATGGCATCACCAGTAATGTTTGCTGCTTTCGATTGTGTTGGTCAGGTGTTCACAGTCAGGAGATTCCCACATCACGTGCAACACTGACTGGGGATCTTGGGGGAAGAGTTGGCCCAACCTGACAGATGAGAGACAAAGAAATCTCACCATCCCTGTGAACAAGGATGGAAAGTATGAAAGCTGTAAAATGTTCACACCTGTGGATTTGGATTTGGAAACAACTGGGATTAATACAACAGGATGCATAAATGGATCGGATTTTGAAGCACCCAAAGGTTCCTCCAGCATTGTGACAGATGTAAGAGATACTTGTTTATACTTATACTAGACTACTTTATATTTATTATTATTTTTTTATTGTCAGATTGCACTTTTCTACTGTTTTAAAACAGTAAATACTTACTGTTAGAATTTATTTCTAATTACTAAACCATAAAATGGGTCAATATAGACATTTCAAAACATAAGAAAATACATAAATACATGTGGAAACAACTCAGTTTAACACTCCATAATATAATCAATACTACAATCCTTCCTGCTATCAGTTCAACCTGGTGTGTGACAGGAGCAGCTTCATCGAGGCATCACAGTCCATCTACATGGCCGGTCTTCTGGTTGGAGCGCTGGTGTTTGGGCAGCTGGCTGACAGGTACACATTCACTTTACTTTACTTGGTACTTGTGATTTGAGTTTTTTTTTTAAATTAGTATCAGTAGAACTTGATTGAATGACAAACCAGTCTGCATTCATACGATTTTATACTTGCAGTGTATCAGTGTATACATTCTTGCTGAACTTAATGGAAAGAAATATTCACATATGTCTAATTTCCATACAAAACTCAATCACCAGTCTAACAGTTCTTCTCTTCTCTTTGTAGGTTTGGTCGACGCTTTGTAGTCCTGCTCTCACTCCTTCTCCTACTGTTGTTTGGTGTCGGTGCTGGTTTCTCACCCAACATCTACGTTTATATTGTTCTCAAATTTTTAGGTGGCATCTCCATTTCAGGCATTATTGGTAATGCATTTGTGATAGGTAGGTCTACATCTCTTTTTTTCTTAATTTGCCATTTGAAGAGCAAAATTGTTAATACAAACAGCAACTACATTTCTTCATTTTATTAAATTAAATTGCTAATACTTGTGGTTGCATTGCCAATAGAAAAACATTTGACTTCCAGTGATGAACTCTGATGCACAGTGTATGAAGTTGATTATTCACTTTCTTTACAGTTTGGCAATGCGTGCAAGTCTCCTAAATTCAGACCAATATGTACACTTTTAAATGTGAACTAAAAGCATCAAGGGCCCGATGAAACCCATTATAGCCTGCAAGTCAACTAACTTTCATTTTCTAGAAATAATAGCCCCGCATAGAAAAACACAATTCTCTTTTAGTTTCCTTTATAATTACACAAAATCCTTCAGTTTCACAAGTTGCATGTCGAGGTGGTGATGCAATGAGAATTGATGCTTTGACAAGTTGCAAGCTAAAAAAGTTGGCTCATACAGTGGTGACATTTGCATTGTTAAGTATTGCATGCATTGAATTGATCCTACTTTTGCATCACATGAGCATAACATACATGCATTTTACAAAATAGATCAGTAACAATAAGAGTAGTATTGGTAAAATAACGTGTCAGAAATTATTCAATTTCTGTCTGTATTATTGCTTTGAAGGTGGAGAGTGGAGTGATTCCTCCAAGTTCGCTCTCTGCACCATTATCTGCCACTCTTTTGTCGCTTTTGGACTGATGATATTGTCTGGAGTTGCCTATTTGATCCGCAACTGGAGGATCCTGCAGTGGGTGCTCTTCAGCTCTCTTGTCCTTGTCCTGGGAATCTTTTATTGGTAAGCAGCTACTCAGGACACTTGGCCACAGAAAAAAAATACAATTAAGCGTACATTATTGTTTGTGATTGTTGACCTATATCTTAATTAGGATTCTTCCAGAGTCAGCTCGCTGGCTTATCACACAGGGCAGGAAAGAGGAGGCCATAAAGGAGATCCGGAGGGCAGCCAAGGTGAATGGGAGGAAGGTCCCGGAAGATCTGATAGACAAGGTAAACTGCATCAAACACACACACTAGCTTAAATCTAAATCAAACACAATAATAAATGTGATAAACTGAAATAAATATACTCTATGTATGTAATGACACCTATATTGTTTAGTTGGAGGCTACATCCAAAGGAGGAAACATGTTGGACATCTTTAGGATATCATATCTCAGAAAACAAACTTTTATAATGAGCTACATCTGGTGAGTATTTATCTCGGCCACAACAACATCTACAGCCACATCGGTGTGGCTGCACTGAACGTATCTCTTCAACTCTGTTAATAGGTTTGGAACAAATCTAATGTACTATGGATTGAGTCTGAACGTTGGAAATTTCGGTCTGGATATCTACCTCACACAGTTCATCTTTGGTGTAGTAGAAGTCCCTGCACGTCTGGGCTGTTTACCTCTTATCCAGCACTTTGGGAGGAAAATATGTCTAGTAGGGCTCCTGTTGCTTGGAGGTTGTGCTTGTCTGGCAATACTTGCAGTTCCAAGAGGTACTTTGTTGTATACTAATGGGAGCCTGTTGTAATCTGTCTTGAATGTATTGTTCACCTGATTCTTGAGAGCAAGAAATTATATTTTAAGAAATGTACTAACATTATTATTTGCCTTGTTAGGCTTACTATATACAATTATATATTCTTCTCTGTCACAGTTGTGTTCATTATTTGTCCATAGATCTTCCTGTTGTTGTGAACAGTCATAGCTTGTACTGGGGAAAATTTGCTGCCACTTGCCAGCTTCCTCCCACCATCTCGTTTATACTGCAGAGCTATACCCCACCACTCTAAGGTAAGGTAGGTAATGTCAGAGGTAAAACATAAAATAGACTTAATATTGGCAAAAAATGCTGTGTTTGTTAATATTTCATACTATGTGATCGCTTATAAGTCCATTGTCTATACTGGTAGGCAGAATGGTGTAGGTCTAAACTCCATGTGTGCTCGTGTGGCGGGCATCCTCGATCCACTGATCAGGCTCCTGGATGTCTACCATTACAACATCCCCATGCTAATATATGGCATCATCTCCATTACTGCTGGGGGTTTGTGTTTATTACTGCCTGAAACTCATAATGTTGAACTCCAGGACCACGCTGAAATCATGTGAGTTGATGAACATGCTGTCAACAGAGGGCTAATTTCACTTACAAGAAGTTCAAGGTAGTTAAATACAATTATTCTCTTGTTTTTATTTTCAGAAAACCAGAGAACGGGACTGCTGAGATGGCATCCTTCACTAAATCAGGAAAGAGCACAAAAATGTACTTTACATAGTGGTTGTCGTAGTTGTTCGATAATGTGACGTGGATAAAGTTAGTAACCAGGTGTTGAACATAGAGGAACACTGACTGAGAGATAGTTGGTACATGTATTATGTAGCCAGTAAATGGCAACTGCAACAGTGCCTATGATGTTTTTCTGATGGAGTTCTGCCCCCTTGTGGCGAAAAAACAACAACAAACAAACAACCGTTGTTTGCTTGTGTTTCAAAATGTAATCAGTCACTTTAATCATTATATCTGTGATATCACAGTGTTTTGTGTGCAAGTGCAAGCTAATTTTTATTGGACTGAGGACGAATTTGACACATCACACAGGAATGACTGAAGTTCTTCTTCTTCTTGCTAGAAATGTTCTTTAGAAATGTATTATTCAAGAAAAGCTCAGAGCTGCTCACAGCTGTGTATCAAGGTTGAGTCCTTACTACAGCAGCCCAGATTCAACTCTAGGTGCTTTGCTGCAGGTCACCCCATCTCTCCTTAAAAAATCTTTAAAAAAAGGGTCTTAAAAAGGAAATTAGTTGTTTTTTTTAATGAAGCCCAAATGGCACAGAAAGTTTTTTAATTTAGCCCTGGGTCCCTGATTTCAGGCAGAAATTGTATTGATGTTAATCTTTATTTTGTGAGTTTGTTTAAATCTGTGTCAATCTGGCTCATCTGTTTCTGACTGACTTGTTTGAAAAGCAAAACAAGTCTTTTGGTGTAATTAATTGGGATTCTAGATGGCAAGAATGACTTTCTCGATATTGTGCTCCTGTTACTAAACTGCTCACCACTGCTAGTAGATTTAGAAGAAGGCCCCAAATGCCTGGCTGACATTAAAAAAGTATTCTTACAGTCTTCTATTGCATTAAAAAATGTAAAAGCAATTTTGTCAAGAATACTTGAAACTGTTTGTTTTACATAATCTTGAAAACTTGATGGCAGTATGTTCAAGCTTTTCAGAAACAAATCTGCATCTGTATATTGCAGTTTATGCTCTTTAAATTAAATTTAATGAATAATTATAGTGCAGATTTTTACAGCTGCTTGAATAGTTTTTTCAAATTTTCATTACTTTTGATTTGACTTTTGATTTGACATGACCACATGTTTTTAGTGCTTTAGGTCAGAGTAATTATTTATCTATGCTTTGTCTGTCCTTGTTATCTCCTTTATTTTGTTCTATTCCCTCCATGCTACCACTTTGTGTGAACTGTTTGTGTGTGCTTAAAATAGAGATATGATCATTAGTGCAAATGTTATTGCTTTATCTATCCCAGATTTTACAATAGGTAGAACAATACAAACTTTTGTCCCTTACTGAAAGATGAAGACAAGTGCCATAACAACTACACTGCACTGATAACACTTCCTTCATGATACCGATTCCGATCACTGACCTTTGCGTATCAGTCAAAACCGAGTACAGGTCCGACATGTGTGCATTAAAAATAAACCCTTTGTCAGAGTCAGGATCAGAGTGTGGCGGGACATCACTTTTCTGGGGCAAAAATGGCAAACAGCGTTTTGGTTCTAATATTTTACATTGTACCAGATCAATGACCATACCCCCGTATATTCCAATGCCTAATACAACCATTTCCGATACTGATATCAGTTTTAGAACAACACTAAATTAAGCCACATTAGCCTATAAAATGAAGCCATAAAACTGTGAATGTCATATCACACTTGGGTTGTAATGGATTAAAGATTAATTAGCAAGATCAGATATATTCATATATGGTGCTAGACTTATGACACTTGGAGAGCTCACATTGCACTTTGATGAGGAAGCACAGCAACAGCTACATCAATATGAGCAACTTTGGACAAATCCTAAAGGAAATTGGGGAGTTCGGTTTGTTTCAGAAACGATTATTGGCTGCATTATGCATCCCCAGCATGTTTGCAGCTTTCGACGTGATTGGTCAGGTGTTTACAGCCATGAGCTTCCCTCATCACTGCAACACTGACTGGATCTTGGAGCGTGGGCCCAACCTGACAGCTGAAAGACAAAGAAATCTCACCCTGCCAGTGAACGAGGATGGAAAGTATGAAAGCTGTAAGATGTTCACACCTGTGGATTTGGATTTGGAAGCAATTGAAGCATATGGGATTAACAGTACAACTGGATGCACAGATGGATGGGACTATGAGGCACCCATAGGTACTTCCAGCATTGTGACACAGGTAAACAAATGAATAGCTTAATTATTAAATTGTCTTGCCGGCCTGTCAGGGTCCCTAAGTCCTGCTTTCAGTTCTTTCTTTTATTTATCTACCTCCTTTCCTCCTTTCCTCCTTTCACATTTCTTCCTGTTTTCAGTTTGATCTGGTTTGTGACAAGAGTGGTTTTATTGAGACATCACAGTCCATCTCCATGGCAGGCGTTCTGGTTGGAGCGCTGGTGTTTGGGGCAATTTCTGACAGGTAAGAACCCATAACACATCCACTTCCTGGTCTTGTACACAAAAGTTATGGAATTTTGCTTTCATAGTAAAGAGCCATTATTCTCATCAAGGTTATTATTGTTGTTATTATTCATAGGAACAAATAATGTAGGTAAAATACTGTAAGCTGTGAGAAATACACAGAAGGATCTAGCTTAATATTGTGGCCCTTTACAGCACTAGAAGCATTTATTTTCTTATTTCTCTTCTCTGTAGGTTTGGTCGGCGCTTTGCAATCCTGCTTTCACTCCTTCTCCTTCTGTTGTTTGGTGTGGGTACTGCTTTCTCACCCAATGTCTATGTTTATATGGTTCTCAAATTCTTTTGTGGGAGCTCAAGTGTTGTCATTGTGATGAACACATCTGTGATGGGTAAGCCTGCTTTTTCCACATTCACATTATTATTATTATTATTATTGTTATCATTATTGCTCTTTCTGTATTTTCTCTATCATCTATCAATCCATATGATCATCTATATACTCCTTTTCATCAGCCATACTGAGTTGTAGTGACTTATCTTATTGGAGATAGTTAAAGGTAATATAAAGGGCACCATCTGAGCTATATAATTGTATCACATTCACATCCAAGTTACTTGAAAGCTCAAATATATATATATGACTTAAAATAAGAAGAAAGTGAGTCAATGTGGATGCCTGACATTAGTCAAAGAAACTTCACCCTATTAATACTAATCATAAAACTGTACACTGAAAGATTTTAATTGACTATTTTCACCATCTTTGCAATCGGTACCTTTAATTACACATAGAATGAACGTGACATTGAGCTGGTAACCTCAGTGAAGTAATATAAAAATAGTATAAACAATATAATGTAAAATCACTGTTGTGATCACTGAAATAAAACAACCTAATATGTGCAATCCTCATCTGTCATACAGGGATGGAGTGGACGGATCCCTCTAAGACTGCTCTGTGCACAGAGGCCATCATAATGTTCTTTTCTGTTGGATTGATGCTGTTGTCTGGCATCGCATATTTAATCCACAACTGGAGGATCCTGCAGCTCGTGCTCTTATGCCCTCTTGTCCTTGTCTTGGGATTCTTGTACTGGTCAGCAGATATCAGACAATAATACTTTGACGTCCATTAAGTGCTATTTGCCAGGAAGGTTATAATTGACCCCTTTTCGGCTCCATTAACAGTTGAGCAAGTTTGGTTGCCAGCAGGGTTTGGGAGGGATACTTTAAAAATGTAATTTGTTACAATTACTAATTACCTGTTAAAAAATATAGTCAGTAACAAAATCCAAGTATCACAATATTAAAGTGTCGCAACTTGATTATTTTCCATTACTTTTGGATTACCTCAACATCAATATATGCTAATAAAAACAAAAGAAAATAAATATCAATAAGAAGTATTGATGAAAGTGTATTCTATTAGACAAACATAAAAATGTAAAAAGAAAAGAAAAAGGAAAATGGATGTATTTTTTGCATCAGAAATGTGTTCTCTGCTTCTGTATTTATTAAGAGAAAAACTGATGTATTTTAAAATTGTAATCCTTCTTAATAATCCCCATTTTTACCAAATGTAACTGTAATCTGATTACGTCTTTTTTCCACTAACTGTAATGGATGCCTGATCTTAAGTTAGCTGAGGTTGGCAAAACACTAGCTAACTTACAATTGATATATATTTGCTGGCAAGTTAGGTAGCATTTTATATAAAGTTGATGTTAGTTAGCATTTGGCTAACATTAGAGGTCATTAAATATATGTCGCTTTTATCTTTAAACTATTTTTGAAATGTGGTTGTCTTTTCAACAAAGACTGACTGAGGCTTTTGGACTGCTATTGGACTGCTATTGGAGCACAGAGCAAAAAGGGGCGGGACTTAGGAGGGGTCAGTCACACTTTCGGATTTTGAACCTGTGTTCCAACAGGTTTCTCCCTGAGTCAGCTCGCTGGCTCCTGGCCCAGGGCAGGAAGGAGGAGGCACTAAAGGAACTTCGGAAGGCAGCCAGGGTGAACGGGAGGATGCTCCCCGAAGATCAGCTAGAAAAAGTGAGCTGCATTGAACGCGCTTTGACTCTATGACAAATGGAGGCTACATTTTCTAAAACATACGTTTTACTTGTTTAGCTAGAGATGGAGGGTACATCCGAAAGAAGAAACATGTTGGACATCTTCCGAATATCGTATTTGAGAAAACGTACCATCATAATGGCCTATAACTGGTGTGTCTTCTTTGACTGATATAATTGTTCATGCTACTGTCACTTCATATCACTGATGTTTAGTAATGATGTGTAATAGATACAGAGTTAATAGTACACATTTGTCCCAATAATCTTGTATGTTCAAGTATCAGTGTGTAGGATGTAGTGGCATCTAGGAGTGTAGTTGCAGATTGTAACTCCCTTGCTTCACCCTCCCCTTCCAAGCGCAAGGGTAAACTATGATGGCAGCAAAACTACAGACATAGAGAGCCGGCAGCAAGTTATTTGACTGGTGATCGTATTAAAAAAATAATACAGAAAATCAGAGCCAGGCCGATAATTGGTCAACCCTAACTAGATGTCACTAAATCCTACACACTGGTCCTTTAAATAGTAGAAAACAACTGAATATACCTCTCTAACTCACACTAGGTTTGCAGCAAGTCTTCTGTACTATGGATTGAGCCTGAATGTTGGTGGTTTTGGCCTGAATGTCTACCTCACGCAGTTCATCTTTGGTTTTGTCGAAATTCCTGCAAACCTGAGCGCTTTGGGTCTAATTCAGCACTTTGGAAGGCGAATATGTCAAGTGTGCTACCTGTTCTTTGGGGGTGCTGCTTGCCTCATGGTGCTTGCTATCCCAAATGGTACTTTCAAAACCTCAGACATATTTTTATTATCTTAAAACTTCTCTTTAAGGTTATGTGCGTTTTTTTTGTTTTTGTTTTTTTGAATATATTATTTGTCCATCAGATCTTCCAGTGGTGGTAACAACCATAGCTGTACTGGGGAAATTTGCTGCGACTGCCTCTTTCAGCACAGCCTACGTTTACACCGCAGAATTATACCCAACCATTTTAAGGTAATGTCACTCTTTCTGCTGCTGCTCATGATCATTACATAAGAAATCTTGGTGACACTGATCTGTTTTAACACTGAATTTGACATATTTTGTTTTCTGTTTCATGGTATTTTTTGACTTCACTGTTTAATTATATCGCAACAAGCAATGTTATATACTAAAGCCTGAATATCCAATATCTTTTAATTGTAAAGGGCTCAAACAAGAGACTGCCTTATTTTACAGCACGCATGCACCAAAATTATACTATACAGTGAACATGGGACCATTAAATTAATAACAATAAATTCTCTTTATTTAAAAACATTTTACACTTTTATTTACCAATAAATTTCCCAATAAATTTCCAAATGTCCTTGTCACACAGTAATGAGATGACTGTGCTATATATATTATCAAATAGATACTTCTCCTACTGTACTTATATATTTGTCTTGGTATAGGTACCCAGCAAGTATTTTTATACACTTAATAATTACACCCTAATTTGTAAGCTGCAATCTAAAGCATTCATCTCAATCACTGTGCATTCTTGCAGGCACAATGGGATAGGTTTTAACTCCATGTGTGCTCGTGCGGCGGCCATCCTCGCTCCACTGATCAGGCTCCTGCAGGTCTACCATTACACCATCCCCATGCTGATATATGGCGTCATCCCCATTGCTGCTGCGGGTTTCTGTTTGTTGCTGCCTGAAACCCTCAATGTTGAACTTCAAGACCACACTGAGCTGAAGTGAGCTGAGATTACATTTTTTTTATTTGAAAAAAAAATCTGATTACACAAACTGTATCAAGTGTAAATACTTTTTTCTGTTTTTGATTTTAGGAAACCAGTGAATGAATCTACGGGGGACAGTGCTGAACAAATTAATGAAGAACTGTAACTTGTACTGAAATCATAATCTCAAATTCATAGTTTTGCAAGTATCAAGTAAGAAAGCTGTAAACTAAAGTTTTTGTAGTTTTAACTGTTTAGTAAGCAGAAATTAAACTGGTCAGTAATTATTAAGGGTCAAACTATTTGTTTTAGGTTGCATTTTTATACCCGAAAGTTTATTAGAAATTGAGTTATTCACACAAATTGTTTATTAAGTCAAGTAAATGTGTGTTCCATTCCTAACATATAACATATTTAGATACATCTATATCAGAGATACACATGGCAGCTAAGGTAAAAGCAAAAAAAGTAAAAAGTTTACTTAATCCAAAGAGGGTTCGGCATCTGGCAGACAGTGAGCGGTCCAAAAGGGCATAACTTCCTGTTTATTGCAGTCTGTTTGAAGTTGTGTGTTGTACAAAGGATTATATTCAGATTGTATTCATTGTTTAATTTCTTGTCCCTCTGCACTATCAAGCTCTTTGTATAAAATCATTAATAAAGATGAACGTCGTCAACTAAAGTTGAACTTTTGCACATCTGAGTCATTGTCACTGTCTGTATTACTGTTCATTTTATTGTTTTGTTGAAGGTTTTACAACTGAAACTTTAAAGAATTAGCCTTGTTATTTCCTATTAAACAATGAAGCCGACTGTGAGTGATATCTCACGCTCTTTGGTTGTAATGGATTAAAGATGGATTAGCAAAATCAGATTGTCAATCTTTCGTGCTAGATTTATGACACTTAGAGCTTGGTTCATACATACGTGATACTGCACTGTGGAAATATTATGAATATGACAAGAAAGAAAAACATAGGTAAGTGTTACTCACATTGTCACTGATTATTTATGCCTCAGACTCATTGGACACATTGTCAGCAGTATTCCTCAGAAGCCATCGGTTCTTGTGTTGAGCGTGTCCAAAGCCCTCATCATAATTCCCTTTTCTTCTGAACAGTTGTTGGTAGTGAAATACGCAGTAGAATTCTCCATATAAAGGCGAGTAATTGTACATGCTACAGATAAGCACAATGTCAGTTACAGTTCAAATTAAGCACTACATTTAGTTAAAGGTAGTAAAGATACTGCACTGTGATGAGGAAGTACTGCAACAGCTACATATTAATATGGGCAACTTTTGACAAATCCTAAAGGAGATGGTTGGTCAGGTGTTTAAAGGCACAAGCTTCCCTCATCACTGCAACACTGACTGGATCTTGCGTGGGCCCAACCTGACAGATGAGCTACAAAGAAATCTCACCCTGCCAGTGAACAAGGATAGAAAGTATAAGAGCTGTAAGATGTTTACCCCTGTGGATTTGGATTTGGAAACCATTGAAGCATTTGGGATTAACAGTACAACTGGATGCACAAATGGATGGGACTATGAGGCAGCCATAGGTGATTCCAGTATTGTGACAGAGGTAAGCAAGCAAACACCTCAGGGTTGTTGCAGTCCCTCAGTTTAGGGTATTAAGCCTAAAATCCGTTGCTGTGGCCCTGCTCTCACCTCTCACCATCTTTTTCTCTTTTCAGTTTGATCTGGATTGTGACAAGAGTGGTTTGAATGAGGCATCACAATCCATCTACATGACAGGTTTTCTGGTTGGAGCGCTGGTGTTCGGGGCAATTTCTGACTGGTAAGGTAAAATAACACATGCTTTCCCACCTCCTGTCCAAAGTAAGTCATAGTGCTCAACCCTTATAAGACCTTAGGATATTTTGGTTTCACATAAGCTGTTATCGTGCTAAATACTCTTTGTGTTATTTACATGACTTGGGAGTATCACCGACTGACGGAAAGGTCTCCTCAGAGTCTAAATAAAAAGCTTTGAAATCAAAACCTTAAATTTTTTTAAAAAGAAAGTCAGTGCAAGACCTGGCAAAAAACATGTGTGTGTCACGCCAAACCATAACAGAAGTTATCTCAGGACACTTAAGTTATTTACAGAGACTCAGCAATTCCCACTATGAGCAAAAACTTCCTTTTAAGGGGCAGAAACTTCAAGCAGGGTTGGCCAATGAAGAAAGTGGGCTTTCAGGGAGGGGGGCATTAAAGGAGGAGCTAAATAGATTTGACAGAGAGACAGAGGATGAACTGAGGGTCTGCATAAAGAGCCAGAAGAATGCTTTTGAACTGTTAGTCATACGAAGCTATACTAGTAGAGTCCCAGAATAAAATATAGAGCTGGAAATATTCATTATGACTCCTTTAAAGGAAAATCTACTGTAAAAATGTAACACAATGCGTTTTTTTTGCTTTTTCACCAAACATCTACTGTATGTTTACATAGTCTTAAAATTCTTCTGTGGGAGTTCCGGAGGTGTCATCATTGTGAACACATCTGTGATGGGTAGAAACACTGTTCATCTGTGAGAGGCCAGTGTTGTATATGTATTTATTTGCCAAAGTTACTGATTGTTTTCACTGTCAGCACAAATGGTTTATTTAAACTCTGCTAGGACTGTAATGATGGTATGAAAACTGTGTTTATAACTAAAAGATATAATATGTAATATGTACGTCGTCCAAAATGTTTTCTAGAGAAATCTGATCATGCAATTGGTGCTCTTCAGCCCTCTTCTCCTAATTGTGGGAATACTCTACTGGTCAGCAGCCTCCAGGGCCATAATGCCTACTCAAAGTATTACTCTTTGCCAGAAAGGTTAAAAAATGTAACCTCAAAATCTTGGTGATCTTGGATCTATGTTTAGTTCAGGATTCTTCAGAGTCAGCTCACTGGCTCATGACCCAGGGCAGGAAGGACAAAGTCACAAAAGGAGCTCCAGAGGGCAGCCAGGGTGAATGGAAGGACAGTCCCAGAGGATCTGCTAGACAATGAGAGCTGTATCAAATACACTTTAGTTACCTGCAGAAAAGGAAGCCTGTTGGACATCTTCCGTATATCGTATATGAGAAAATGCACTCCCATAATGGGATGTACCTAGTGTGGGTTTGTTTACATTTTTACATTAAAATAATTCATTAATGCCACACTCTTTCTCTATGAGTGAACATCGTTAATATTTATTACATCTATAAATACACTATGTTTATCTATGATATGTACTAGCTACTGCAGTAATGATAAAGATTTTTGAATGCTGATGAATGTGGTTTTGAATGATTTAAGGTAAATAATAGCAATTCTATTTATTAATCTTCTGTTTTTTATTTCAGAAAACCAGAAAATGGGCCTACAGCATTTGTTCACAGTACACATTGAACAAATACAAATGAAGAAAGCTGTTATTTAGCTGTTTATTTGTCATAATCAGTTATTTTGTCTTTATATTAATTTTTTATCAATTATGATAAACTACATAATTAAACTAGGGGCATAGTATAGTCAGTTTACTTAAGCACAAAGCTCAGGGGTGGCCGAGGGGTTCATGAACTGGACAGGTTTTGTGTCCTGTCCTAGAGGCAGATCATTTATTAATAACAGAAATGGTCTTTATATTTTATTTTAATGTCTAATACAGTCAGATTTACATTATTATCTTACACTGGACAATTGATGTAGGCTACTTTTAGTCTGGCCACATTTTAGGAATTAATTTAGTCAGTCACAGTCAATTACTTATTCTGCTATCCTGATAATAGAAGCTCACCACAAACACCAGTTCTTGGATGTTTAATTAGCAGTTAGAAGGTCATCTAGTCTTACACTTGGACATATGTGCTAAATGATAATGCATATTATGACTAAGGATTACAATTAATAAAATAAAAAGATAACATTTTAAAGACATATTTACAGAGAAAAACAAATATTAAATAAATTACATGACAAGACGTGCCTTTGTATATTCCTGTGAAAATTCACTCATTACTGTAATGTGGTGTCAGGTCCAGTATCAGTTTGTTGCAGACCACAATATCTGCGTGGCAGGTAGAAATGTAAGTGATGGAATGAAGTTCAAGAGCATTCAGGTGGGACACACACTGTCAAAGATGTAAAGTATCACTGATGTTAACAGCAGCAAAGTGAATGAGCCTCTTTATTATCATCTGTATAGCCATTACCATCCAAATACATTCTGCCTTTTCATTTGACCATTATTTAAATATATTGATTTTAATTTTATTTTTCTGTACAAATACTACACTGATACCCAGAATATTTGCAACAATGTGACATTTGTTTCATTCTTCTCAGTTAAAATGAAATTTACAAATTTACAAACCACTTTCACCACGCTCACAAGGAACAATTATGCAAAAATGTTTTTGTTTTAGTAATTGTGAACTAAAAAAAGCAGAAGGTAATTTAATTAAACTTAACGAATGACAAAGATATGATTACACTTATGTAGTTTCTTGCAGTGATTAAACCATTGTGGCCATTACAGTAGGTCATGGGTTATACACTATCATTCATTACCAATCAGTATATAAACACATTGTATGATTTGTACAGCAGTTGGCCATTGCATTATGCCTCAAACACGTCATCAAGAAGCTCTGAGTTGTCCTTCAGCTGAGGACAAATACAGAACACAGTTTTAACAAAGTGAAGCCAGATAAATGAAATATTATCAATATGACAAGAAAGAAAACAGGTAAGTGTTACTCACATTGTCACTGATTATTTATGCCTCAGACTCAGACTCATTGGACACATTGTCAGCAGTATTCCTCAGAAGCCATCGGTTCTTGTGTTGAGCGTGTCCAAAGCCCTCATCATAATTCCCTTTTCTTCTGAACAGTTGTTGGTAGTGAAATACGCAGTAGAATTCTCCATATAAAGGCGAGTAATTGTACATGCTACAGATAAGCACAATTTGTCAGTTACAGTTCAAATTAAGCACTACATTTAGTTAAAGGTAGTAAAGGTAATTTTGTAGTTACAGTAGCTATAGATAGATAGATATACTTTATTGATCCCAAGCTGGGAAATAGCAGATTGTTTTTTTTCTCTATGTGGCACATTTAGAGTTTACTTGGGTTTGAAAAGTTTAAAATGAATCGTGTATGTTACATTTAGTTTCATTTTGCATTTGTAAATCATCCTTTAAAAGTTGTCATAGCTTACAAAAAAAATTCTGTCATGCTTATCATAGGAAAAGCACAGGCAATTACAGTACAGCAATGCAGCAATGAACATATTACTTACACCTGTGTTTGACAAGTCAAAATGTCTGCTATGAAAAAGGTCTATCGAACTTCAACTTTTATTTGACATTATGTAAATAAGCTGTATAATTATGTTATTTTTATCTTTTAAATTGTCCTTAAAAAGCTGTTACATATCATTCCACAAATCAATCAATTAATCAGTGAAAGATTTTGATTGTATTTGACAAACATCAAGTTGATTGCAGTTATTGAGCAGAATATTTGTTTTTATTTTAGTTTTTGCCTCTATGAAAACTGTTGCATAGAATAGTGAGTTACAATTACTTATGTTCAGGTCAATACGAAGTTTATCAATTCAAAGTGATCAAAGTAAATAATTGTTTTCGGCACAGACAGTGGAATCAATATTGTGAAACATTGATCAATGTTTGAAGTTTGAAGTTATTTTGTGATTTTTTAAAATGTAAAATATTTCAATATCTCACCTTAATTTTTTCTTGCACTGTTTACAACAGAAGCAAGTTTTGTGAAAAATGTATTTGTCTGCAGTAATTTTTTCCATCGGATAAACCGGCTTCAGACAGGCTGAACACTTTTCTTGACAAGCTGGTTGAAACTGATGAAAAAAAATTAGGCTAGATGAGCTTGGTTAAAAGAAAAATACTTTTTGATATAATAAGCATTAATAACAACAGACACAAAAGCATAAATGAAAGCCAATAATGCATATTTAATTTCAAAAGCCAATCTACAGCAGTTTAAAGATTACAAGCTAAAAATAAATAATCAATAAGAAAATCTCAAACTAATGATAACCTCTTATAAATAAACAAACACCAACATATCTTAGGAAATAAACTTATGTACACAACAACTTTGTCATTCAGAATATGAAAAACACTGCCAGCACTTAGCTAATAGGTAACAATGAGCGCCTATCTGTCAAGGATTTAAGGTTTCTGATTGATCGGCAGCTGAACTTCTGGGTACTTGGTGACCTGACCTATGGATGTTGTCGTTTCTGGCTGACCAGAGATGAGAGTGGAGGTTTTGGAAGAATAAAACCGGTTTCCAAAGTTATCAGTCTTCTCATAGTTCTCTGTGACTGTTTTGGTACCCATAATACTGTTTCCCTCATGGTCAGTCTGCACCTCAAGTACACTGAGCTCTCGTTTAGGGTTAAGGGGGCTTTGAGGGGATTGTTTTTGACCTCCTTTTCTGGGGTCCCTTTTTCTATTTTGAGCAGGGCTGTTGCATGTCAGGGTTTTTGTTGTCCGGAATTTCTCCTCTGTCTTTGGGCTGTGCTGACATGTCGGGCAGATTGTGGTCTCTGGTGGAAGTACCTCTGTTTTATCCATCTTTCTAGCAGATGACTGGATGGAGATGAAGGCAGGTGAAGATGGGGGACTTGCTCGTTGTTTTGCAGAGGCTACATCAGAGCTTGCTCTCTGGCTAACTAATAATGCTGTGTTTCCCTGTGCTGCAGGGCTTTCCTGTGATGACAGTGATTTTGTTCTGTTTGAGCCAATGCTTATTTTGCTAATATTACCAGAGGATGGGAATCCTTCCACTGTACCTAATGACTCTTTGAAGAGGCAGGATAAACCAGCAATATCTGAGTCAGATTTCAAAGTAGAGACAGAATAAAGAGCCTTCTTTATGGCTCCCTCTATGTCCATAAGTCTGGCTAAAGTTTGTTCTTTTAGATTCATGATTTCCTCACTGGCTCGCTCAAGATTTCCAAAAACATGTGCCATTGAGGTCTTGCTTTCAGTTATGTCTCTCGTTAACGGCATCCTCTCTTCTTTGTTTTCTACTTTTACCGTCTTTTGTTTCTTTTTTTCAGAGCTGACAACCCAGTCAGGGACGTTCTCAAATACACCCCTCAGAGACCTTACATCAACCTCGCTCGTGTCCTGTTCAATTTCTTCAACTCGACTGAGGATGCTCTGCAGTTCCTCCTGCTTTCGCAAGTTGTCAAAAATTCCCATGGCTGCTGTTATGTTTTCTCTCATGATCTCATCCATGTGAACTGACAGACGCTGTCGGCATTCGTCCTCTGTCTCGGTTCGTCCTTTCTTTTCCCTCATCTCAACTTTGCTTTCTTGTTTAATTTCTTCCTCGTGCTTGTCTTTGCTGCCAGCAGTTTGTCCACAGGTGCTGGGATTATTGCATGATGGATCAGTTAGAGTTTGTTGTGGTTCCTGAACCACATGTGTAAGAGTTGAGGAATTATTATCTTCAGACATGTGTTTTGGGTTTTTCTTGCCTGGCTGGGCAATTTTGACTCTTTTGGGCTTTACAGGCGCATTCTTCACTGAAATTGTCTTTTTGCCCCCAAATTTCTTACATGCTTCATGAAAATCTACATGGCTTTCATCTGTTTCATTCATATTATCTTGGATTGGAAAATCCTGGGGGGGTTTCTCTTCTGCTGTGACATTTATCTGCTGTTGTTGAATGATATTCTTACATGTTTTGTCACTTGAACCTTGGACTTGATGCCTTACTTCAGAGCTTGGTATAGCTTCATCAGAAAGCTCATTTCTTTGAAGATCCACTGAATCAGGTCCTGAGTTTGCACCACTGACAGTATTCGTTTGGGTTGCCTCAGGATTCTTTGTGTTGGTTGATTGAATGTGTCTTTGTTTCTCTTTCAGATGCTCAGGTTTAGGTGGGATGGCTGGTTTTGGACCAACAGGCCTTTTTCTTTTCTCTACGACAGCACTTGTAGCTGCTTTATTTAGGGTTTCACTTTGGTTTGGGAGCTCTGTATTGGCTGCAGTTACTTGTTCCTGCGAAAACTCTTGTGTCAGTGGTGTTTGAGTTGATTCAGGTTCAGCCACAGAGCAAAAGTCCTCCTTAGTGAGCTTTTTAACGGACACTGCATCCAAATTTTGAGAGCTTTCTTTGTGAGGTTTGGAGGAGTTTTTGTATATCATAGCTGCTCTGAAATCCCCTCTACTTACATTAATGTTGGATCTCTCCAGGGAATTTAAAGCTGCTTGAAGTTTACCCTCAAAAACAACTTCCACCTCCCCTTGCTGTACAGCTGTTGTTTCAGACACCATAGCAGATTCCTGGACCACCTCTGTGCCTTTTTGACCCATTTTACTGCTTGTCTCAGTAGTTTGTACTTCTTCAGAATTGGTGTCTTTACAGCATGTCTCTATATCCTCATGTTGGTGATCTGTTTTATATTCCATGGTGATGTTGGAGGCTGATAGAGGTTCATCCCCCAGTGGGTGTTTTTGCTCATTTTCTTGAGGTAATTCTGCTTCTGTTCTTGAGTGTTTGGCGTTACCTGTGACTGAGACAACGGGTTCCTTAGAAGGCACGATTTTCAGTTTTTTTTGTGATGAAGATTGATGCAAAGATTTAGCCTTGATCGTGGCCTGTTGGAGACTATGTATTGCAGTTTGGAGGTTAGAGATCTCGACATCGTCATCTACCACCTCAACTAATTCAGCCAGGTGGACCCTGCCATCATTCTGTGTCTCAAGATGTAGGAATGGTCCCTGTGGTACAGCTGTAGAGTTACAAGCTTCTTCTTGTGTTTGGGCACCACATTCCCTGAAAATATTATTTTGTTTCCCATGGGAGAATACCCCAACATTGCACTCTGTAGAGGACTGTCTCTTTTCAAGCGACACATTTTGACCTGTGAATGCACCAGAAATGGTGGTCGATTGGGCATGATTTTCACGTACAATTTGCTTTGGTTTGATTGGTCTTGGATCTCCAGAGAACATGTTTTTCAGTCTCTTTACATCCACTGGGACCCATTCTGACGTATTTTCCTCTACTTGATCACCTCCCTGTTCATGATGAAGCTCCATGCCTTGTCCAACCACATTTTGGTTACGGGGGAGTTCTTGCTCTTGCACTGTTGGCTCAGCCTGAAGAGTTTTCAAATACTCCATATCTCCCTTTTCTATACAACTCTTAAACAGTTTTACATTCCCTTTTACTGTGATTTCAGGCCTTATTAATCCTTGGAAGATTTGGTCTTTGGAAGTTTCGAGAAGGCAGCTTATGGTTGACTCAATAGCGCCTTTTCTTAAATCTTGATTGTCTTTTTTAATCACATTACCTCTTTCTGGCTCTGGTTCATCATACTGTGCACCTTGTGGAGGAGAGTAACTTTTTACATCTTCCTCATCAAAATAATTGTAGAGGGAGTAAACCATAACTTCAGCAGATCTGTCCACATCCTCCTGGATTATCACTCCTTTCCTCAGAGAGTTGTCTTGATTGAGAATATCCTCAACAACCTGGACCACATTGGCAGTTTTAAACTCTGTGTCTTGGTTTGTACTGAACTGATGCTGTTGCACGGGTACATTCACCACTGTGGCCTCCATCTTTTCTCTACTATCCTCTTTTAGGTATGTGATCTGAGGCTTTAGGTTTGCCCGTGGTAGCAACTGGAGTATGAAGTTTTGTGCACCACCTTCAGCCACCTCATCATATTTTATCTTAGGCCCACTCTCTGACAGAGTGAATTTGGCCTTTTTTGCTATCATTGTCTCATTCACCTCAATGATTGAGCCATCTGAATGTATGGCATTAACGTGATAAAGGGAGTTCAGTGTTTCCTTGATGTTCTCGACCATTGTCTCAACCTCATCCTTGTTCTGATGCCTAATTTTGTCGAATGGCATTGATTCAAACAAATGGGCTCTGTCCTTGACATTAGCGATCAGATAGTCCTGAGCTGCCCCACTGTCTCCTGCTGGGCTTTGGGATTTCGATGTATGCACAAAGGAATGTTCTCGTTCTATGTTTGTTGGGATAAATGGGTTGTTTTTAAAAAGAGCAGCACTCGTTTTGATTGTTTCCCCAGGTTTTTCTGGATTAGGTAGGATTGCAGGCTCATCCTCAAAGAGTGTTTCACCAGTAGAAACCGCTTCCCTATCAGAAAACCGATGGTCAGTGCTTTGACCAATGATAGGAACACATGGCCCTTGTTTATGGGGCTGATCTGTCAAATGAAGACTTTTGGTACATGTAATGGTTTTGTTTTTGCTGTGTAGATTCTCCTTTTTATGCTCCTGTTTTTGGACTGCCCCTGTCTCATCCCCAGAAATAGAAACTTTCCCCTCAAACTTATTATCTGGCATTAGTCTTGATGTGTTCACAGACTGACTCTCAAATATCCCTCTGGTAGCTTGAAAATCTATTCTTATCATGTCCTCTTCACACTCTGTGTTAGGATCTGGACTAGAACCAAGCCTTTTATCATCCTCCACAATCCCTTTAACACTTTCACACCATGGCGTCTCTTCATGCTCCTTAAATACAGATGATGTTTTACTGATATCGCCGCTTTCCACTGTTCCGTCTGCCATCTGCCTCTTTGGGGTGTAAGAAGATATTTTGTCACTCAAAGCACAGTTCTCAAATATCAAGCGTCTTGAAAGGACCTCTCCCTCGTATCCAGTTTCGCCAGTTGTCCCCCCAGTCTCTGTGCTCAAAACCTCAGCAAGCTCCTCATCCACAACATCATCCAACATCTTCAGCTCTGGGTGAGTGTGCTTCAGGAGTCTTTTCAGCTCAGACTTCTGCCGCTGTTGGTATAACTTTTCTTTGGAGAGTTGGGATGGCATGGACTGTTGGAAATGTGCTCCAGAGATGTCATCTGACCCTGGCTGATGTCTGGTTAAAGGAGTTGGAAGGAGGTCATCTTTCCTGTGTTGGGAGCCTTTGTCCATCTTAGAAGAACAAAGTAATGTTCTGATCATCAAGTGGGCTATCCAGTGAAAATCATGCTCCAGAGTGTGCAGACATGCTTACAGCAATGAGAGCGATATGTTACCTTCATCATGCCAGTTGATTTGCTTTCCACATGCCAGATGTCAGTGGGTTAGCTGAGCTTCAAAGCAACCAGCAAATCCAACCAATGATAAATGAAATAAAATGTAGAGTGGATGGCATCCAATATCCATTTCATTCTTTTGAAGTAAACTGTGCAACTCTCAGGAAAAGCAAGCATTTGGTTCTTGTACTATTTGCTATTTGATAGTGTGGAAGATAAGCTATTGTTACAATGCAAATCCACTGCACACCATCATGCAAAATGCCTGTTGAAATTCTACCTTACCTTGGTTAGTTTGACCCTTTTTCCAGATTCAGATGACTGATCTTGTGCCTGGATGGAAACAATTATTTCTGGTCAGGTTAACCTTATAAGATCAATGTTCTCCTGACCTTTGCTGTCAGAGCTTGCTTTAGCTGTGATCATGATAGTTTAGTATTATACTATGATGTTTTAGAGGACAATGTGAAGGATAAAACACAACAGTGTGTAGCTTGCAATCTATTTTGTAAAACATGCTGTCACAGTTTACATGCATTGGTGAACTTTGCACTCTTAGAAAATTAGATTAGATCTGGATTCTGTTATGCAGTTGTCTCCATTATTACTCTCTGTACAGTGAAGACTAAGGTCACAACAGCAAAAACAAAGATTGAATAAAATCTGAAAAGCATTTATAGTTCTCTCTTCACCATGCTCTAAAACATTTAGCTTGTATACCTTGCATAAAGGCATAACATATTTGAGGTCATGCTTATAATATAGGACTAAACAAAGGAAGAAAAGAAGAGAGCACATAATGAGTAGTTAGATGTTTACCGATTTTAAAAGGCCTGTTGATTCCTGAGGTGACACTTTTGACTGATAGAGAGCAGACATAGCTTTGACCGAGACACACAGTGTCTCCTTGGTTTGGATGAAGGAGCTGTCTCTGAAATCTGCAATTGACCTCCTCTTTTCATCTGCAGAGACATCGGACACAGCAGTTTTAAAGTGTTATATTTCTTTATGACACAAGTTATACTGTGTAGTACTTAAAAAAGGGCCTAATCAGAGCTCTCTGAGATCTATGTTGACAAAATAATCATTTTTAATTTGCTGTCAAAAAGACAGCTTGTGTCAAAATAAGGCACTATTTTCGGAGACTGTCAAGTCAAGTCAATTTTATTTATATAGCCCAGTATCGCAAATTACCATGTTCCTCAAGGGGTATTATAATCTGTACAGCATACGACACCCTTTATCCTAAGACTCTCGATTTGGATAAGAAAAACATAGGTGTGACTTCTGTGTTCACATCCATGTCACTAAACTGTGTGTTAATAGTTAGCAAGTTTGGGAAACAGCTGCCATGTGGCTGAGTTATAAATGTACCACTTGTGGTGGAGAGGGATACCTGACTCCACTGACACAGATACTGAGAGTTAAAAGGACAGGCAAGTCACTGCAGCAAAAGTAAACACACATATTTCTTAAAATTGTACAAATAGTAAATCAATAATCCACTAGCAGCTGGAACACGTGGCAAAACAGACACTGTGATGTAGATATAAAGAGAGAACTCTTCAGGATGAGGATTTGGTGAATTTTGGCTGCAATATTTAGGTCAACCTCTAGTGATATTAAAGTCTCAGCACCCTAATATTTTAAGATTTACATGGCTGCTAAAACTATCAATCTAAAGTATTTTACTTGCTCCAAATGTATTGTTTATATTAACCTTTATGGTTTTAAAGAAGTAAACAAGTTTCCAAGAGCATGTGCAAGCCATATAACATGCAGGTAAAATACAGAGATTATTCTCTTAAATAATCAAAATACAAATGTGTACTCACAGAAAACGAACAGCTCCCACTTCCTTCTGACCTGCCTGTCTTCTTATTTTCTTTCAATCTTTGTGAATGTGTTTAGGTCTGGTTTTCTTTCAGTTTGTGTCTGGCAATGGTGCCTCTGCTACTCTCGGTTGCTCGCTCTCTCTTTCTTTTCCCTGTCCTAGTGACAGCTGACCCTTTCACCCTCCTGCACTTATTCAGGACTTATAGCATGGTGGCTATTTCTGTCCTGTTCTGGAGTGGCCTTCTATACCCGCACCAGGTTGAGTCAATCACGGCTTCTTGCACAGTCACTGTGCTGATATTCATCTCCATTTCACCTCTTCCCTTTCATTCATACCGTCCATGGCTTTGACCTGAGTCATAGGACTCACAGAGGGCTTTCCAGGCAATGTTTACCAGAGGAGCCGGCATCTTGTTTGGGTTCTTTCAGTTGCATTAGGATTTAGACACCGAACTGTGCATTGCATATAAGAAACTAAACATGTTTTTTATTTGCTATCTTGATGGATGCAAAGATGTCTGAGTAATACTTTATTTTGTAGGTTAGTAATTTCCTTGGATGTTTTATAACTATGTAATTTGGTACTAATTATAAGAAAATGTGAGAACAGCTTTATTTCTACTACTCACAGTTTTGCATGTTCAGTTGACCTGCTGTGCACCGACTCTCTGCACTAGCAATGAATTTTCAATAAATTAATACTAATTCATTTCTGTAGAATTTGTACCAAATTACAGTGTTACTTCCAGGAAATTTCCTGGAAAATCATTAAGAAATGAAAGACAATGTTATATTGTAGTCAGTCAGTCCAGTGTCCATTAAATGATGCAAACTCATCTGAAAAGATTTGTGTTATTCAACTTTGCACCAAAGTATCTGAATTTTAATAGCAGATCAAAGTCTGAAGCAGCTTGAGGGGTTGATGCCAGTTCCAGTTCCTTTACAACCTTAATCAGGACTGTAGTCTACAGCACAGTATCTCAACTGGTCTTTGTCCTGAAAGTGTATAAATGTAGTCAATTTGTAGATTATTTTATTATTACCATATAGAGTTAATGACTGGGCTAAATAATATTTTTTGTGTTTTTGTTTTGTGTTTACTCTGTCTGCTAATCAAATGTCCCTTGCCAAACAATAACTATCAATTATGTAGACCTGAACATTTATTTCCCAGCTTTATTGGGCAGTAGGTAGAAATAAATAGCGGTCAGGTTGGCGGGGTGCACTTTGATGAATGTTGTCTGGTACTCACCATCTTGAGAGGCTGCAATTTTTTCAAAATCAATACCCCCTATTGTTTTTCTCCTCTCCACCCGGGTCTGATGCACCACCTAGCGAGAGAAATAATGAACTGTCAGTGCTACTAAGTAGACAAATGTCTATCTATGTGACAATATGAAGTCTTGATTCTATTTTTGGAAGTAACATGATGGAAGTTACATGATGGATCTGACGGTTTCATGTTAAATATATGTTGAAAATTAAGTCCCACAATGATCTACTGGTTTATTCATACACAGACTAACACTAGACTAGAACAAAATGTAAATTAAATACAAGTTACTGATGTTTTCTGATGCTTGTTTGCATCAGTAATATTTGTAGAAACAAGAGTACAAGTCAATATGTTTGATTCTGATGAGTGGAGAAACACACCGTATCCTTATTTTGACCTATTAAATACCCTAAAATTGGACCTTATAACAGGGATTTACCTTCCGAGTCACATGATCTTTTTTTGCATCATCATCTGGAGCGTCAGCAGGAATTTGGGTCTTCAGTTGCTCTGCAGAGCTCTTTAGATTTTCAACCTCTCCATTCATCACCGGCATGATATCTGCTGCCTTGTAAGGTGATTTGAAACTTGCAGCTCTGAAGCTGCTCTTCACCTTGTTTTGTGTGGCTGCCTTTGACTCAAACAGAACCTTCAGGGCCTCTATGGACCAAGTGCTGTTTTGAAGGCTCCCCACTGACTTACTGCGGGCCAAATTGGTCTTGGCTCGAGACCGCTCCCTCTCTTCATTTCTCCACAGCAGAGTTTCCAAATTAGTCTCTTTACTCTCCAGAAGAGATGGTGTTATCTGACAGGGATACACACAGGGAAAAGCAGCATGCAGCATGACTTGCACACTGAAGATGTTTGCAAACAGCTCCAAAATGTCTGAATGTAAAGTCAGAAGTTACCTCTTTTAACACCTGCTTTGGCTTTGCTTCACCATTATTTACCAAAGTTTCTTGAAAAGTTGTGCTTACTTCCACTGTGGTTTGATACCTGTTACATATACACAAAAGCCATATGAATCATCTATTAACATCCAAGCGCTGCATTAAGAAGGTTATAGAGAGTTTGACAGAGTGAGGAAGCTGCTGTTTCTTTCACCTGGCAACTAGCTTGGACACAGACGTTGTCTTGTCCCGCAGCCCTGCCCCTGTCCAGGTGGGCTTGTCACATGATGAGGGGACGTTCCTCAGTGACTGGGTGCGCCTCAGGTTGCTCTTCCATTCCATGGCCAATCACGTCACAGTAGCACACAGTTTGCCAATAACTATATCACCTAATATACGTGAGGAATAATCAATGCCCATTCATGCAAGACATTTTCTCTGCAGAAGATCAGCATACTCTGACTGTCATAGTCTATTAATTCTTTAAACCCAGCAATACATTTAGTTTTAACTATCATCTTAACACTGCTAGTGAGCATTTTATCTGCTTGTAAAGCGAAACATTTTCCCTCTAACTTGTAGAAATTACAGATTTTAACATCAATAATGCATAGCCCTTAACGATGAGATTTTGAAAATGTCATGCAATTTAACAGCAATGCAAAGGAGAGCAATAACTACTCAATTTAGTCATAAAAACTGATGTTTCATGAAAACAAAGTGTTGGACTATAAAGTGAATTTTGAGTAGAATCGTTACCTTACAGATGTCAGTCAGTGTCTGCTCCCTGTCAGAAACACTTCTGCAGCATCACAAGACTTTCACAAGATGTGAAGCGTTTGTGAGCAAAGTCCTTTTTCTTCCTCATTACCCTTTTCTTCCTCATTACCACGGACTTTGTAAAATGGTCTGTGAAAATATCTACAGCAAACATATAAATCCTGCAAATTTAGAACTAAATTATCCAAAATCCCAGTTTTACTGTTGGTTTTATCTCTTTATGTGAGTTTTCAGGAGAATCTTTGATGTTTGATGTCAGGTCAAACTAAAATCTCAAATGTGATTACTTGATCTTTGAGCAGCAACGCACCATCCATTAAGATAACATGAGATTAACTTTATTGATTCTGATAGGAAGTCGTTACAGCAGCAAAGAGCAGGACAGAGACAAAGAACAACAAATAGAACATATTTAAAAATGAGAGAATTATGATAATACACAGCTCTACTGCTTTGAGAGTAGTTTGGATGGGTTGAGTTTTGAGAGATACTGATTAACATAGTTCTCAGGTTACAGATTTACAAATTTACAATGCAATATAAGAACACATGAGCACAGTGAATGAGTAATACTACCTACGCAGATGTTCAGGAGAATTTCTAAACAATATAGGGAAAATGTTTCCATTATTTTGAAGAAATGTGCCTATTGGAATAATAATTAATTGCTAAACATTAGTAAATGATCACATGTGAGTAGATTATTGCTGGTCAAACAACCAAGGGTCCATGGTTTCAACAGTGCTTCAGAAATGGCATGCATCATGAAAACCGTTCAACCATATGAGTTAATAGAAAAGATGAATTATGCAATGGCTTGTAGTGTTTGCAGTCTTCCAGTATTCCGAAATAGAGCTTATTCAATTCAATTTCACACATTGTTGTTGTTCAAGACACAACAGTCTGCATTTGGGTGTGTTTAAATAATTTTAAGGAACTTAAAGGAACACTGGAATAGGTTTGTAGAACAAATGTTGCTAAACCTTTTAAGCTTAGGTACAAAGCAGCAACCATGGGGGCCAGAGGGATTGAGTGTGTTGCTCAAGGACACTCCAGTAGGTTCGATGCAACAACATCATTATTTTTTTATATCATTTTTGTATTTGTATAGTGATTTCCTAATAAATCATTACTACCAGAAACAGCTAAATAACCAGAAAGAGTTAATCTGGCACACTTTACTGGAAATGTTTGATATTTCTTAACCACAAAAAGTTGAAGATCCACAATTCCATGGTTAGAGCAACCCTCTTTTATGTCTGTGAACGCCCCAGTTGAAATAGCCTGGAAACACCAGTGCAATTAAACAATTATTTTTTACTGCTTCTTTTAAAGGTTCTTAGTTCTTAAATTAGATCTCAACTGGCTGGGGTTCAGACAGCTAGCGAGGAAACAAGTGTTGTGGAAGTTCGTCTCCACCCTCGAATTCCAAGACCTACTGACCCTCAAGGATCGAGTAAGAGCAGCAGGAAGCTCTGCTCCCTCATGACCTCGCTGACTACACCGACACCAACACCGACCCCAACCAGCCCACCCAACACATGCTGCAGCAAAACTGCATCAGCTATTAAATGTGCACTGCAGCTTTTTAAAGGGAGTGAATTATAAAAAGCAGTTTAAATGTTTATTAAAGCGAGCTAAATACACATTACTGGTCATGACATTTAGTTTTATGGGGCACATGCCACAGTGCTGTAATTATTATTTTGTTTCTGTCTGGTTCTACACAGTATAATTACACTGCATATGTACTCACTGAAACCTCATGTGAAAGGACAGACCATTCTGATTATAATATATCTTGTGGTGAACTATCTTTACTACAGTAAAACTATAGAGGCCTGGTCACAAAAACGAATAAATAAATAAATAATTGAATAGGTTGTTATTAAATCTATTGTTAACTATGAAAGCTCTACAAGCTGTTTTGGAAATGGACTGGAAATGCATTTACTCAGATACTGATGTTAAAGCTGCATTAATTGATTTTGGCCACTTGTGGGCAGCAGAACAAGCTGAACATTGATTTACTGTCACCATATACAGTTTTTAATGTTTGAGGTGCTGGTTCTTTCAATCATTATCATTCTGTGAAAAATAATTAAATTTCTCTAGATTTTAGATATAAATTGAATTTATATCTTTACTACATGATAGCTTTAATTACTAGTAAGGTATAGTTTTGAGATATTAAGATTTTACTTTCAAGCATGATATAAACCCTTAAACCAGTATATCAAGCAGTTAGACCAACCAGCTACAACACAAACAATATTACAACATTTAAAGCAGCCTCTCTGTTGTCATTTTTATTCTTATGTTAATTTTAATACACACACATCCATACATTTATTCAGGTGCAGAACTTGGCTGCATTGGCCTGTAATAGACAATTTTCCTCAATCTGAACATCTTTGTAGTATCCTTTATCTGGGTTTCCTTCTATTTGATGCACTTGTAAAATGCAGTAGAGGTTCGAGACAATGGAAGCTTTTGTCAGCACACACAATTTATATTCACTCTCTTTAGTCTTGCTTTCTGTTAATCAGTCTACAGACAAAGAGAGAGCAACAGCAGCAGCACACACCCCTGGGGCAAAAAAAGAGAGATTCAGCCTAGCTGTCTCCCCCTCCTCTGCCCCTCCTCTGACTACAACCCTCATCCCTCCCTTCAAAACCCACTCCTGTCTCTGTCTCAGAGGCACTGGAGAGATGAAAGGGAATATGCAATGTGCCGCCTTTGACTGTGAACTGTGCGGTGTTATTAGGGGGAAGTTTACTGGCCTTGTCTGCGTTTGAAACACACTTGCTTACACCAGCCAGCTGTTTTAGAGGGAGGATCCGCGGCTGGTTGGAAGAACACTTAAAAATACCTGCAGATTACACTCTGTGACTTTTGAAGAGCTGCAAAGAGGAAAGCATGTACACCCTCGTAAACACATCTGCCTGTCTTCCTGTGTCTGAATGTGGTTTTCTTGAATGAGTAAATACAACTGTGAGAAAAGGCTAGTCCAGCAGGGGGCGGTAAAGACCACAAAAACACAGCGCTCTGTATTGTCTTACCCACATTTGGGTTATGTGGGAACATTACAGTGGGGCTATTCAAGGCCAAACTAGGTTATTTCAGTGCACCAAAATAACCCAGAATGTACAGCAGTGAGAACAGAGACCAGATAGTTGAGGAAGATAAGGTCAGAACTGCTTAATAACGTGTGGCCAGTGACGCATATATAAGCATACTTTATCACAGACAGTGAAATCAATTTATATGCAGGACTAATCTATCTCATCATGTACCAGATAAATATTCTGTTATTCTAAGGCATTCAAGTTCTGTTCCCTAACTTAACCCTGCTGCCGTCACATTTTCTCATTTCTACAGGGTCCTGTCTGCATCACCAGAAATCTAAGGTCAAGTCTGAGGTCTGCAGTGCTTCACAGAGCATGTGATACCGGTTGGATGGCCTGCTGCATGCGAGTGACACACACACACACACACACACACACACATGCAAACAAACACGCACTGCACATCTCACACGGCCAGCAGTCATGAGTTTGCCTGAGATAATACATATGCATCATGACACAGAGGGCAGGCACAGTGTGTGTGTGACTCAGCAGTGGTGTGTGTATGTGCGTGATTCATGCTGCTGCTACTAGTGATACTGCCCATCATGTAATTGAGGTAATCTAGTTGGTTTTCATTCAGAGACTTTTCATATGTGAATGTGAGAGAGAGACTTTTTTTATTTATTTAAAGTGTTTATTCAATGATTTATTTTTTTAACTATTAGATAATGTAATAACAGACTCATGTTAACCAGTTTGGTGTAGCTTAGTTTATTAGTTTAATCACACTGAAAAAGTAATTCTTCAAATCATTTTTGGCTCATGTGGGCATTTCTTATTTATTTATCAGTCATCGCATGGCCAGATTACTTTGATGCCAAGATGAAACCCAATTAGTTAGAAATGTCCCATCTGTAGTCTGAAATCAGACCACCCTTGAAGAGGCTACGGCATCCAACAAAACTAGCAATTGAGAAAACATACTTTAATTTACTTGCTTTTCTTTTTTGCACTAACTGTTTATTTTTACTCTGATGGTAAAGCTTGAATACTCTGATTTTGAGTTTTTACATTTTAGAAAAGATGTTTCAGGCTGAGATATATTCTCTCCTGCCATAAGATGCATATCTCCCTGAGTCTACTGTACAGTATGTACAACTACTGCCTGCCTGAATATCATAAATATGCATTACATAAATAATACAACATATTTCAGTGTTTTAAATAGAAATACCAACATTTCTTATGAGCCACAGTGCTGTAGATGATCAGCCTCCTTTGACGTCATGTTTACACATGTAATGTCATGTAGCACATCACTTATCAGCGAACGCATCAGCTTGGCCTCAATATGCATTCTTGTGCATTCATCTGTTCTTAGTGACGTGTTTGACGTAAGAGCAAATGTTCAGTGTATGAATCCAAAACAGAATCGACAGAGAACAGATGAAGGTTCTGTGTGTGTGCTGCCAAATGGGAAAATATGGAGGATGCATTGGATGAGGATTTGACTGAAAAAGACAACTTTTATTTTGGGTTACTGAACAAATTTGTATTTTGTTAGATTCACAGTTACTGCATGTAAAGAAGGACTCAGTTGATATTATATTATAGCAGCAATGTGAGTACCTGACAGTGAGGAGTCAACCTTGTTTTGGAAAAATCTGAAACTTACTGAACCACTACAGCATCATGTGAAAAAAAAATGTGTCTGAGATTTACATACAGCTACATAAATGATTGTGTCAAAAGCAAGAAAAGAATATTAATTGTCTGAGGCAACAGTGGTGGCAATGATAATTGCCATTTACCGTCAATGATAATAGACCATTATGACAAGAATTTGATGGCAGAGAAGAAATATCAGCTCAGATAATCTACAAAAAGTAAATTTACTTTCTTGTTTACTCTTATTATTGCTTTATTCAGATTCATTAGCACTATTACTTTATACAGTATGCCTTAG